CTAGGAGAGTTGGCTAAAAATCCTGATTCCAAACCAACCAAGAGAAGGCCTACGAACCACACCCACACCTTTCCGTTTATGGTAGTAGTCACTGGCTGGATTGGGCATCGAGGTGTGTTGGGCACCTTGGACGTTTGACCCCATCCGAAAGGCATATGATCCGATGAACTAGACACCGGCTCCCAATGGATTGCGGTTTTCGCACACCGCCCCGCTGCCTTGTGGGTCAGGTTTTGGTTAGCCAAAGGCCCCGGTTATGGATTCTCCAAGAAAATTCACCTGCCATGGCCTGGGCAACTTGGCAGTATTCAGCTCATTTGCAAATCGTGGGTCGTTTTTCTTTTAATACAGATTATTGTACCACGATTTGTTTGACGCACAGTCTGGTATCAAACGTGTGTGAAATATATATTTGCTGCATAGCAACTGACCAAGGGAGCATATTCTATCATCCTGGTGCATACGATCGACCTTCTACTTTCAAGAAGTCACGCAACCGGAGCCTTCGTCTAGCCAAGGCCTTAGCCGCAAGGCAGTGGGACAATCTATAAAAACCGCAATCCATTGCGGTCGGTGTTTATTTGATCGATTCATACGCCCTTGGGATGGGGTGTGCAATACACTTGAATATCAAATTGAGCCGGTGACCAATGCTACAACCAACTGTGTGTTTAGTTCGTACGCGGGCTCGGAATCAGGGTCTTTGGCCCGCTTCTCCAACGGTTCACTGACTAGGTTATAGCCCCTTATGTTGGCTTTCCGTTCTCTCCTTTTGGTGGGGAAATACCTCCGCCACGGGAAGACAGTAGATAGGGCATCCGCAGTAGAGGCTATTTGAGAAGCTTCATCGTATAGAAGCGTTTTGCAATGTGCATTTGATGAGTGACCAGCCACAGCCCGAGACACCCACTTCAAGGAACATATCAAGGCTTTCGGAGTATCGGAATGTAAGGCGTATATAATAAGCAGTAGCATGTCTGAACTGGCAGACTGTTGTGTCCTTGAATCAGTCTCTTCCTCACTGGCCTCCAGCACACATCAGTGGCTTCTTAGTTTAACCATTCTTGACTTCTTTCCATCCATTACCGACCTTGACAAACAGCATGCACTGTGGCAATTTACTTGGCGACATGTTTAGCACGTACCTCATTCAACGTGAATAAGTTGTGACATCTATGTTAATGTATGCCAGACAGTCTTCTACCGCACAGCACTCTGCATCTCCGTTTCTATTTAACTGCGTTAGAAATTTGATTATGGAAACAGCCCTATCCGCGTGCGAGGATAGCGGTATCGCTTAGCTCCCAGACGTCAGACTGTCTGATCTAAAATATGCAGGCGACGTTTTACTTTTAAGTGAAGATCCAGGTAAATTGCAGGCTTTTCTGGCTAGTTTGAGCGCTAGTGTAGCTA